TTACATATTAAATGTTTACAATTTTACATACTAAATATTCATAATTTACATACTAAATTTCACAGTGTAAATTGTGAACATTCAGTATGTAAATTGTGTATTTTAAATTTAGATCCACCTTACAAGATGAACCCGTACCCATGATATAATTATTGCAAGATTCACTGATGGGCTTACTCTAAGGATAACCTAATATAATATCAATATGACAATATATAAGTAATGGCCCAACAATGGACCTGACAAATTGTCCAGGTTGATAACATGAAATTGACAACTATTGGGCTTTGGATTAGTTAACATCCAAACCCACATCCCTTTTTTCGGATCGTTATGATATGCATGCACCATGCATGATGCATACGGATGTAAAAACGACGTCGTTTTGACGTCTAACTTAAAAAAAAAAAAAATAGAATTGTACAAGAAGTTTGTTGTTAAAGTTGAGAAAGTGAAAGGTTTGTGAACTTTTAGGTTTGGTTTTTAAACATTTATCAGTTTTGGTGTATTTATATATATATATATATATATATATATATATATATATATATATATATATATAGTCAAAAATTGCATCAATACCAAGTTATACTTACTGATTTCTTAAAGTAACAAATTATCATATATCTATTCTATTTTTGTTTATTACAAATAACGCTATAAATTAAATGAGAAAATCTAGTTCTTCATTTTATCATTTTTCTTTTAGGTGCAAAGTATTTACCTAACTATTTTTAACCTAATTTACCTCTAATTAGAAAAAGAAAACAAGTAAAATATAATCACATTTCAGGTCGGAGCTAGCTATGCTTTACCGTGGGTCAATTGGCACTATTCAAATTTTGTTATTTATTATCTATATTAGTTTTTTATGTGCTATGCGACTATGCGTAAAAATAATTGTGCAATATTAATAATCAATGTTAAAATTTTAGTTAAATTGAAATTTTTATAAATGTATATAATATTTTATAAATTAGTGACACGAATGTTAATGTTAAAAGACAAAAGTTAATGTTAATTATCAATTTTATATCTAAGTTTACAACATAGTAGCATTGAGAATGTATACCAAGTATAGCATACGGATTGGATTGTAGAAGACAAAGACAGGACGAGATATGCTCGTGATCCTTTGCATAATTGCATTATGTATGGTTTATAATAATAATAATAATAATAATAATAATAATAATAATAATAATAATAATAATAATAATAAATACTATTTCATATTTATAAACAGCTTAAGCATAAAAAGTTGTCCAAAATTATTCTCCACTGATCAGCATGGGACAAATGGGATGTGACACACCTCATCTTTTGACTGCAAGGTCTTTCATGAGGTGACCACCTGATTACGATTTTCCAAATGTTTATGTTAGTTTTTTATTCTTCTAAGCAATAATTGAGCATATATTAAACATTTCACCTAATTCTAATTCTATTGATTTAATGATACCAATACAACTGATGATTCTATATTAAATTAAAAATTTATAATAATTTTAACTGGTCAAATTATCAAATATACCAACAATAATATATATATATATATATATTGAATGTTACTAGCTTCTATTACATTGTAGTATCTGTTCATATACTTTCTCAACCTACTGAAACACAAACGCCTCCATTGAGGCTTGAACTCACAACCTTCCAAACGGAAGTCCAACCCGGGTACCATTAGACCACATAGTCCTGGTATATATATATATATATATATATATATATATATATATATATATATATATATATATAAAGAAACCACACATACGAGAATTCGAATTCATATGCATATAGTAATGTGTTTAGAGGATTGCATTTTGAATAAGATTTGACCATGCTTAACCAGATTAGTTGTATTTTATGATGTATTCACATTTGAAGAAAAAAAAAAAGAAACTCCTTTTTATTTTATCATCAATATTTTAGGTATCTTTTATTCTTTACGTTCTTGTCTCCAGCCATGCAGGCGGTGCCAGATCCTCCGTCGGGCCTCCACTCGGAGGTGGGAATGTCACTGACGGAAGGGGCAAGGATGTTCAAGAGGTTCCGCTCATCTAAATGTTCATTTGCAAGTTCAGAATGATGGTCCAGTCAAAGTATAGTTAGAGTTGTCCTTACTAGTTACTAGAATGAGGATCCCGTCAAAGTGTAAAATTGTGAAATGTAGCCATATCATCTAGGCTTACAAGACATTATAATTATTTCTAATTAAATAATTATTGGGGAATATATTTAATCATGACTTTTGTAGATTTTTAAAATAATAGATTTTAATAAATTTTTATTAATTTTCATAGAGTCGATTTAAACTTTTGTAAGCTTATAAGAGTATATAAAAGTCTATATAAAAAAACTCATAAACTTTTATTAATTTTTATAATCAATTTAGTGTTATTATAATAATATAATAAATCCTAAATTATACTCCGTAATATAAAATATCAATAATTATGTGAGGAATATTTTTGTCTTGACATTATATCTATTTAAAAAAAAAAAACGTGAAACATTAAAATTTTAGGCACGTTTACTAACTCAAATTTTTTTACAATTTTCTTTAAAAAATCGGAGAATTTAAGAACAGAAAACGAAAAACATGTTTAATAGCACAATTTTTCGTTTTGAAAATAGAAAATAATTTTATAAATAGAAAACATAATCATTTATTATCTATTTGGTTATATATCACTATACCACATTCTCACAATTATCTACTTACATATTTATTCATTACTATAATTATATTCATTATCATTTTCTTTTACTTATCGCCATATTCTATATTTTCTACATTGTATTACTTATTTAAACATAACTTATTTGTTTATACTTAAAGTTATACATTATTTATATTATCAAAATTAAAAATTAAACTCTATATCAAGTTTTATATATTAGTTGAACTCAATTGATTATTGACTTGAACATTTTTAGTTATGTTATATCGTAATACAAGTTTAGTATGAATATTGAATATTGAAATTTTACAAAATAAAGGAATTAAAATTTTGTAAAATTTCAATTCCCTTCAACTAAATCATAAAATTTACTTGATAGTATTTTTGGTTTTTTAGTACACCCGATAGTGAAATTAAACAGAAATGAAATTATAATTCTGAACGCGAAAGGCGCCGTTAGTTGTATGAAAGTAGCTGGCCTACTAGCTTTTTTCCACTACAAATATTACAAGAAAATACTATATAGATTCTTACTTTTTACTTATAACTTATATTTCCTCTCATAAATTCTTAATATACATAATAAAATATTATTTGTCATGTCAGAAAATAAAAATGAAGACTAAAATTTATGATTACATGACTAAAACTCATTATTAGATGTGGGAGGATGAAAACCCAATCCCAATTCGGAACTTGTCGGTCGGTCAAATATTTGTATTTATACTTAGTGCCAAGTACATTATTTGTACTAATTTACATTATACTTCTAGTCATATCTAATTCATGCTCATTGGTCCCACATCCCCCCTTCCACTAGTTAAGGACTTTAATTTATTTCTCCTTAATTCCCTCCTTCCAATCATACAGCTGCGTGTTATTTTATGTGTGAAGGAATAATTTAGATACCAATTAAATTATATTGGACGCCATTAAAGAGCATCTAATCAAATCTGATCTTATCTAATCTAATATTAATATTTATGCGGTGGAGACGGAGAATAGTGTCGGTGGCCAGAAACGAGGCTGTAAAGCGCAATATATCTCTCCCGCCAGCGCCACCAACCTAATAACAACTGGCGCATTTAATAAACGCCCAACTAACAAGTAACAATCCAAACCCCCTTTTTTTGCTTTCTCTTTCCCATCCATCCGCCATTACTGTACTCACCGCCACCGCAAATGCATGCCTAAAACCCATAAAGCTATCACTTTTAGCCTTAAAATTCACGAGATAATAATCCTTACATTAAAAAAAGCATTTCCCCTTACCTCACATCTTGCCACGTACATAAAGCCGACGACATCGCTTCCTGTCATGCACTTGTTTTTATCAATCTAGCCGTTGTTTCTCTTTGACTCTTTTGCCTCACCTACGGACTATTCTACACTTTTTAGACTAACTTTGCACTCATAAATCATAAGTATAGTAAAATCCTTATTTTATTAGTTTTAAAAATAAAAATCACAATTATTATTATATTATTTAAATCAGTTATTTTCTCGTAATCTTTTGCTGATTAGGGTCATCATATAAAATCCAAATATATCTCAAAATACTGGTTATAGACTTTTTCATAAATTAAAATTAAAGTAAAAAATAAATTATCTCGATATACCTTTTTATGTGTTTGAGTGGTCCGTTCATAAAGTTCAGTGAATTGTGTAAAAATATATTTTTTAATACTGAATTTTGAAACTATATTGACTGAATTTTGAAACTAGATTAAGTGATTTATATTTTAATGTACATTATGTGTTATAGTACTATTTTACTTTAGTATTGATTCATTATTTGATGTGAGATGTATAAATGTTGATTCTTTATTTGAAAGGATAGAAATAAAGTATTGTTTAAAGATGGGGATGTGGGATAATTACAAGGATTTAATATTCTTGCATACAAGGCTACAAGAAGAATGAGGGGAAATGAAATGAATGTAAATTAATCAGTGCATATGTAAGCTAATTTGTTGTTCTTAGGTGCTAGGTGGTATATGTGTATAGTAAAATTGTATGTATGTGTGTATGTATAGACTATAGAGGAGGGATGTACGGAGATAAGTGCCCCATGTGAGCTGCTTTTACTGAGGTTGATAATCACAATAATGATTTATAACAGTATTTGCTTTGCCTTCTTCTCTCTCTCTCTCCTCCTCCATGAAATGTGCTGCTTCTTTCCCTTTAAAGATCCTTAGATTACTCACTCAATAATTCTTTTTAAGTCCCTTTGAGATCTCAGGGATTCTTTCAACTCTTCAACACCACCGCCACCGCCACCGCCACCCAGTGCCGACCACCACCACCGACCACCATCACCGACCACCATGTGGATTTATGGAGGCTTCACCTCTAGAGGGGGAGCCATGGCTGCTCTTTTGCTGCTGCTTCTACCAGCGTTCTTTCCTACCCTTTTCACTACTTTCATCTATGCTTCACCTTCCATTCTCTCGGTAATTTTTTTTTTTTTTTTTTGGTATTACTGTTTCCAACTTTCTTCCTAAGTGTTTTTATTGGTCCTTCTATCCTGTTTTACCTTTCTAATAAAGTGGGTACTGTTGAGATGAAGCAGAAATGGTTGCAGGGAGAAAAAGTATGATTAAAGGGGTGGCCATCTGGGCATACTATTAAGAGAAAAATGTTATCTTGTGAACTTTAGATGGACAAAATTGTTCATTTATTCTATTTTTGTGAAAAAGATTTGGTTTTTATGAGTTTTTGAGCATATTTCTCTATTTGTACTGCTAATTAAATCCCTTTTGAAAGTTCTCATTTGGCCATTTCTATTTCTTGGAATTGTGAAATCTAGCTATAATTATTACTGATAGTAGTAGAAAGGAACTGGAGAATTTAATTTGGGTGTCATTCTAATTAGGCAGTTAGGGAAAGAATTTAATTTGAATCTTGGTACTTTTGATGTCTGATATTCTTGGGTGGCAATTGCTGAGAGACTTGAGCAGATATACTAGGATTAAAAAAATGATGTTTTCTTATGATTTGGCATAGTTGACCGGCTAAGTGTTTTGTGTTGGCAAGTATTTGCCGTTAAAAGTATGGGATTTGGTTAGTTGGATCTGTTGACTTGGGTCCAGTATTGTGTATTTGGACTGGAATAGATTTGGTCCCGAAGGATCGAATTAATTGAGGAGAATGCTTTTGTTGCTGTATATATCAATGCTTCTATGAGGCAGTAAAAGTTTAGATTTTTTTGCCATTGGGTTGGATTTGGATACTTTAATTTCCTCAGTTCATTCATAGTTTGAGTCGCGATTGTTGTTTCCAGGAATCGATTATCGCAAAACCCAGGCACTCGAGCCTTTTCAAAAGTGCTCTGCAACGTGAAACTGTGAGTAACTTCTTCTCTAGTTAATTTTTGCAAAGAAAGCTCGGTTTGTGAAATTATTTTTGGACCGTTTTATTTGGTACTGTTAGACCCCTGAAGAAAAAGCTGAAATATGGATGCCCTTGGCCAACCAAGGATGGAAACCCGTTCCTGATTCGGGTCTTTTCTCCAGTGAGTCGTGCAAATCTGTTACGTTTTATTTTCAGTTCAATTTAAACTATTTACATCAAAACCGAGCTAATTAACTGTTCGTTCTCGAGCAGAGTTCTCTGAAAAATCAGAGGGATATCTTCAGGTGTTCCTCGATGGAGGATTGAATCAACAGAGAATGGGGGTATGTTTATTACGGTCTTTTCTAAGAATACTCGACTTGGATGACAATAATTATATGTCTACACGCTTCGATTTTACAGATATGCGATGCAGTTGCGGTTGCGAAAATTCTGAACGCTACGCTCGTGATCCCTTATTTGGAAGTAAATCCAGTTTGGCAAGATTCGAGGTTTGCGTGTTCATAATATGTTGAGAGTACGAGTTATTGATGAGTCATAAATTTGCGACAATTTCAAACAATTGAACTTTTCTGTGGCCCTGCTGCAGCTCCTTCATGGATATCTTTGATGTCGATCATTTCATCGAGGTTTTGAAAGACGATATCTCTATAGTAAAGGAGTTGCCTGATGAGTTTTCGTGGAGCACGAGGGAGTATTATTCTACGGCTATTCGACCGACTAGAATCAAGACAGCACCGGTTCATGCTTCTGCAAACTGGTACTCGGAGAACGTGCTGCCCGTCCTTCGAAGGTCAGTTAAGATAATTCATTTTTGTTATGATCGTTTACATGTGTTATGTGTACCGTGTTGAGCAATATATATAAAACATAAATGTGCAATCCAACTATCTGCTTAAGGTTTTAGTTGAGATGGAGCACATGCTTCGATTCCTGGGATTGATTTGTTAAATTTCGTAAATGCATCAGTTATGGAATCGCGGCAATTGCACCGTTTTCTCACCGATTGGCATTTGACAACATGCCCAAGGATATCCAGCATCTACGCTGCAAAGTAAACTTTCGAGCATTAGTTTTCGTACCGCATATCAGAGCCCTCGGAGATGCTCTTATTCATCGCCTCCGATATCCTGCTAGCAAAGACGAAGGGCCTCAGAAGTTTGTGGCGGTTCACCTCCGCTTTGATAAGGTAGTAAAAATGTTGAGATTAACAAGAACAAGAAACAATAATAATGACAAAAAGGTAAAGAAGACAAGATTTACATGGTTAGGCAATGTGCATACGTCCACGGGAGTGAAACAATTCTGATAAGAAAATTCAGCTAGATAGATATGTTATTGTAACCTACTTTCTTCGAGATTATTAAAGCTGGCATTGCTTTTCAGGATATGGCTGCCCATTCAGCTTGTGATTTCGGTGGGGGTAAGGCCGAGAAACTCTCGCTAGCAAAGTACCGACAGATATATTGGCAGGGAAGAGTGCTGAACTCTCAATTCACCGACGAGGAGTTGAGGAGTCAGGGGCGGTGCCCGCTGACCCCCGAAGAAGTTGGATTATTGCTGGCAGCTTTAGGCTTTGACAACAACACCCGCTTATATCTTGCTTCCCACAAGGTCTCCAACAACAACACCCCCCGATATGACTATAAATGTTATTTTGCCCTTGCTGATACTGTTTCGATTTTCAGGTTTACGGTGGCGCAGCCCGGATATCAGCCTTGAGACGATTGTTTCCACTGATGGAGAACAAGAAGAGCCTCGCCTCTTCAGAGGAAAGAGGTGAAATTAAAGGAAAGGCTTCCTTACTAGCTGCAGTTGATTACTATGTCGGTATGCACAGCGATATTTTCATTTCTGCATCACCCGGAAATATGCACAACGCAATGGTAAGCACTTGATATATCTCTTCACCGACTTATCTGCAAATAAAACAACACCTAGTGTGGGTTGTTGAGCATATAACCATTAATGTGCAATCCAACTATCAGCTTAACCTTTTAGTTGAGATGTCATTTTGTTTTCTTGTGAATTATTGAATCTTATGATGTTTGAGTTCATTGGTTTCCCAGTGGACCGACTCGTGAATTGTATGATGACAAAGAAAACATGTTTTTCAATGGGGGTTTTGGGACCCCTGAGATTGAGAATCTCTCATCACTCGATCTGCAATTTACTACAGGTGGGACATCGAACGTACCATAACTTGAAGACCATAAGGCCCAACATGCAACTCCTAGGCCAACTCTTCCTGAACAAAAATCTAACGTGGCCAGAGTTCCAAGACGCCGTGATCGAAGGGCACGCGAACCGACAAGGCGAGATCCGCCTCCGCAAACCCGCTAAATCTCTCTACACATATCCTGCCCCTGATTGCATGTGCAATGCTTGAAGCTGGTGATGTGTGGGGTTATGATACTCTTTATATATATGTGGGATTGGAAACAATTGTTTGTGCATTGTATTAGTTGGAAATAAAAAGCCACCCCCCCATCTTTGTTCATCTATATAGGAATATCACTTCATTATTTAAGTTTTGGGGGTGGAAGATGATGTGTACCATGCTTAGGTTTATTGCTGTCATGACATATATACACAACTATTTCATGAATAGAGAGCTTTGTAGATTTATATATTTAATATAATTTCATTACTACCTGTTGAGTTTGCATATAACAATTTTACTGAGAAAATTAGTGAATGTTACCTTCGGTAAGGTTTCCTAATGCTTTTGTTGGTGTAAACTACAAATTTATGTTTGTTCTGGGAGGCACGGGAGTTGGTCCAAGAGGAATTGTCACTTGTGAGAGTTAAATTTAGGTTATTTCAGGAGTAGTCCCCATTTGTTTCAGGAGGCATGGGAGCTGGTCCAAAAGGAATTGTTACTTGAAAGTTGAAAGAATCAAAATTGGATTATTCTCGAAACTCACAAAAATGTTCATTTGTCACTTGAGTTACCCTTTTGAGTTAAATTTTCCTAATGCTAAAAATGACAAATAAATAAACTTTTATATCTTTGCTACCAAACAATCTCTTAAGTTTTCTAATGCTAAAAAATGACAAATAAATACTTAGTAAATTTTTATATCTTTGGCTACCAAACAATCTCTTAAAGACTTTCACTTATTTATGCAAATCAAGAGCGTAAAGTCGTATATGAAGATCGAAAGTTACTACAATAGTAGTTGTATAGTATGCTATAATAGTACGGAGTATAATATATTATGTGTGCATATCTTACCCATGATTCATATATTTAGAATCTAAATATTTGTTTATAGCTAAATATAGTTTGAGCTTTAGGGTTTGAATATATGATTTTAGCTTTTTCAGTTTGCCTAAACCTTAGGGTAGGTTTACCAAAAACATCATGTGGAATATAAAATTAACAACCCGACAAAACACTAAATAGTCAAATGATTTACACTTTTTCAGTTAGCCTGAACCTTAAGGGAGGTTTACCAAACACATCATCATGTGCAATATAAAATTAACTAATTACAAAATTTTAAAAATATCAATAAATTCTGTATGTATATATGTAGGATTGGTGTTTATAAATCTATTGAAAGGGATCAATAGGACATAACATTTAATCATTCCAGATGACCCAACTGATCACCTGAGCCTGGATGATTACTTGAACGCTGATTCTGTTGCTTTTTTTCCTTTTCTACCGAACCATTACTATTACGAGACATGGCCAATTCTTTTGCTTCTGCTGGATTTGGTGGTGGCTCCATCCCTTCTTCGATAGGAAGGGTTCTCTTTGAACCCTCCAAGGCAACACCGAGGACTATATTCTCTTCAAGGGCGGGTTTTGATGAGGATGACTGTGAGGCGGCTAATGGTCTTTCATCCCCTCTTTTTGGTTGAGAAGTCGATGGGATACTGTCTGTTTTCTCATCCCCTCTTTTAGATTGAGAAGTTGATGGCACAGTATCTGTTTTCTCTCTCGAGTCTTCTGGCAACAATGAGGAATTGTCGGTATTGGGCAAGGAAACATTTTCGAGGTTTCCTTTCTTAGGTTGCTTGTTGCTTGGGTTCTCTAGTGGATCACTGGAATCAGAACTTGACACCTCAGCTGACTTCTGGTCAGGTTTGGAGGCCACCTTTGAGGTTGTTTTCACAGTCACCTTACTCCCCAGCTTGTTGTGATCAGATGAAGAAGTCTTGGCTATAACTTTATGGTCCTCTTTGATATCAACATTTGAAACTTGACCAACCTTTGAGTCAGATGTTGATATGTCATTTGCGTTAGAGCTGGATGCTGGCGTTTCTCGGGCTTTAGAATCAGCCTTGTTGTCAGGTGTTGAGCGCTCTGTACCCTTGACTTCTACCTCGCGCACTGGTCTGGCCTTTGTCCTATCCTCCGCATTGACCTTATAAGGAGGCTCAATAAGCAGCAGTGGGCGGCTTGATGCTGCTCCTTGATTAAATACTGAATCTGATGCAAACGGTATGTTATCCAAATCCTCCGCATCACTGTATATTTTCTGAACTGTACGGATTGGAGTGGCTAATCGTGCTCGGTGGTGTCGTATAACTCTGAGAAGATCCAACAGGACAGTTTCCTGATTTTGTCAAATTGAAGATAAATATATTACTTGCAATAAAACCATAACGTATACAAACGAACAAGCTAAATACTAAATTGTCTGAGGAATAATTGTAATGTCCTTGCAAAACTTCCCTCACCATTTCATCTCAACAAGAAGAACCATTCCCTGACAAACACTTGCATGGTTGACTTTTTAAGCAAACCAGTAAACACCTTTAAAATTTGGATCGAAATTTCTTGGCATAAACTCATTTAATTGGCGAATTAAAATTTGGAATATACTATGGAAAATGTTGCCATCACTCTCAGTTCTGAAGTGCTTCATTAAAACTTTGAACAGGAAATGGAATGGATGGGAAGCAGGAAAGTTTGCTCACCTTGACGCAGAGGTACTCTTCAAAGTGTGAGGTCTTCACAAAGCAAGATATCATGATCTGCAAATTCCAGATAACACGAGACTAAAGTGCCAAATCTTGTAAGAAACAAATATTAAAAATTATGAGTCAGAATCATTTTCTGTGTGTTCAAAATGCCTGTGAATCGTGTTAAGAATGCACCTTAACAGAACCAAACTTTTGAAAGAGAAAACGATTAGTAAATCATTTTTGGTGGTCAAGAGAATAAGAATGCAACAGTGAGAAAATGTTACAGGATATAGATGCTGAAATGCTTAAACTAACCAAGAGGGCCTGGTTGTCAGGGTTAATATTCTCTAGAAATACTCTTTTATGCAACTTCTTTTGTTCTACTTGAGGATTCTTTGCTAAAACTTTCCGCATATCAGCTACAATATTCTGCAAAAGAAGAAATATCGCCTTAGTTTGATTAACTTATTTTCCCCATGCTTAGCAGCCACAACTCGGATTAAACATACTTGTACTTACATTAATCTTACTGACATCCAAGTGACTGATTGCCAGGTGAGTTTTTATACGCCAATGAGTTTTCTGGGTCATATTTCTCACAAGATTAACACTGAACTTGTGGTTTGGTATATGAACAGCTTCACGATCATCACCTCTTATAATTGTTGGTGACCACCAACCCACATGCTGCCAAGAATAGGAAATGGAAATATACAAAGCTAAGAAAAAATTTTATTTAACAATACAAAAATGTAGCATACAGAAGAAAGCAATGTGTTGGAGAATGCCAAAGAATTTCAAAAGTCAACAACAATTCAACAAATGAAATTGCTTGTATGTTATGTATTAGAGAATGACACAAGAATTTCCCAAAAATGGACACAGCACATTACAAAATTATAAAAGCTCTCTTATTTTTGTCTTAGTCCATCAAATAGTATGGTCGTAGTAAAAGACAAATAATGCAAACCTCAACAGTTCCAGAAACTTCATAACCGTCAATCCTTGTTTGAATCCATTCATTCAGGACAAAAGGTCGAGTTGCATGGATCATTATACTTGAAAGGAAATTAGTGAAGATCTGAATATCACAAGAAGAGTTGAATTAACATCTTTATCAGAAAACACAAACAAACAAATAAAAAAAATAAAAGCAAAAAAGGAAGAAATTCTCGTGCCAAATGTCCATATATACCTATTCTAAGGTGAACTGGATGAAGGAAATTTACAAACAAAGTGGAAGAATTAAAGAATTGAAACACACCTCACGACCAGCAAGAGTGATCAAGACCGTCCCAAGCCCTCCAGCAGTGAGCCACCTTTGAGTAGAGAAACCTAGCAACTCCATGAACAATGACACTGCAGCAACCCACACTGCAGTATATAGAGCTTTTCCAGCAAACTGGAAGCCCATCTGCAAAGCCAGGAAAAAAGACCCATAAATGCATAGCATAGAACTTCAGTGTCTGTATAATATAACATATTCATGATCAATAAAGATCATTAAGGGAGTGTTTGGTAAATGATGAATTCACCAATTTTTAGCGGATTTGACCAACTTTAGCATGGTCACACCACTAAAGTGAACATTTGATAAAGGGTAAATTACAGTAGCAGATTGACTCCAGTCCGCTAAAATAAAACGTTGGAATTAGTAAGCATTGCAAGTTAGCAGATTGCATTTATTTATTGCAACAAATGACTACTTTTCCCACTAATGATAAAATTACATCTATTGTGAGTATTGTCATTAACTTATCTTCATATAATAATTTAAAAATAGAAATGTAAAACATAAAACCTATTAATTTCATAATTATAATATAACATCATTATCAATAATAAAAATAGAAACAACTGTTAAAAGTTAAAACAGCAACAATAATACTTTTTAAATTTAAATTATTATGAAATTTATATCTAAAATAAAAAATTGAAAAATTGTTAAATAAATAAAACAGTATACTCATATCCTTATAAGTCATTTTATATGTTATTAGCTAATAGCCTAACAGTAAACAACTAATTTACCAAACACATTTTCTACAAATAGAAAATACTATCCATAGGCCATGTTTTCAGTTATCATCTAACACAATCTGCTATGGACTGATTGTCCCCCTAAACCTTTGCCCTCTGGAGCAGAGAAATCACAAATAATTGATAATTTCCAGGGTTAATTATGTCTGAAGGCACTAAGATTCATGAACTCCACTTGCATAGTTGCATGCAAATGGGAAAATTTCCCATGGTCAATTATTTCCAAGGATTAAGAGTTCAAATTCCCAATATGATTGATTAAAGTTCTATGAGGATACAATACATGTAAGTTCACACTATTAATTGTGGCAGAGCTTTATAATTACATTTCTTGCATCAGAGGGCTCATTCGTCTCCATGAAAAACTTCTGCGTATGTTTTATCACACTGCATCAAATATTGATAAAGAACTAAGACATTAGCAATTTAACCACAACTTCAGTTATTTAAATTCTTAAAAACCTGCTACGCACACTGCATTAACGCTTGATAGAGAAATAGAACTAAGACATTAGCAATTTAGCAGCAACTTAAGTTATTTAAATCATTACAAACCTTCTACACCAGAATAGAAGTATGAGAATTGAAATGCTTTACCAGCAACTTCAGCACTCACCTTGACAAACAATAAGCAAAAGCTAACACTGTTGACAGTGATCTCACAAAATTTAGAA